ATAATTCTCTTCTCTGCACTGACAACCACCATACGAGTTTCCTTTTTTCATTTTTAATTTCTTAATAGCCAAGCTGTTTAATAGAGTACTTTTTGATGGAAAGCTTAGAAAAATATTTTTAGTTTTATGTTATCTGATCTTTTTAGAGCGTTCTCTTAGTCTAATCATAAATAGATTGTTTTGGAATTTTCTGAACTTGTATCTGGCCTAAATAGCTCTGGAAACTGATGTTACTCTCCACCCTCTTATTAAAAGAATGACTATATATATATATATATATATATATATATATATATAAATTGATTGTTTTGATACAAGAGGAGTATTCATTTATAGGTGAATTTAAAAATCAATTTATAATCCAGGCCCTAGAATTAAGAGTATTGAAAATATGAAAGGTGCTTGTTAGGAGTTTGGGTGTAGAAATGCCAGACTCCTGTCTCTTGAGTTGCATGTCAGAGGCAGAACGGTATTCATAGAGTATCTCATGTGTCTGTGGATTCATGATTATTCTGCTTTTTGGAGGAATGCGAAGAATAAAGACTAAAGAATTCTTTACTGTTCTTTGTGGGATTTATAAGTCCTACGGTTGTCTTCTTTTCCTCAAAGAAAACTAACACTGGAAATGAAAAAAAATCAAGTTTGAGATAGTATTTTGATTATTTTTTGAGGTGGAATAAGGAATAGAAAAGCCATAGGCAACTCTAATCTTTTGACTAATATTACATACCATGTTAGGCAACATGTTTGCTGGGAGGTACTGTTTTAGGAGTCCTTACTTTGTTTGCAGTGAGTCCTGTTTTAGCACTATAATATCAGATGAATTCTTGTGCAGAAGGAACCTCAGTAGTCTTCTGATAACTTTCGGTTGTCTGCTTTATGACTTGCTAGACAGTTGATACTTTAATGACGTTGTATATGCTGAGCATTAATCCCCACCTATACTTTTAAGCACGTTCAGTGCTTGCAAAACTTCTCAAACTTCAGTATTTTTGGTGGTATTCCTTTTGCTGAAATAATAAATTCCTGGGTCTCTTTATATTAGTATAATTTAGAATTTTGCTTTTCTCCTTTTATTTATTATTTTGGTAAACATGAGAGTATTGAAACAATACTTTTATTAAATTGAATTCAAGTAATATCTAAGGCTACAGTCTGACATACTTTAGGATTTTTTTTTCTATCTAACTGGTTTAGAAGATTAGAATTTTCTGTAGATTGAATTTGTAAACAGGACTTGTCTATATTTGTATTATTTGGAATTTTATCTTATTTTTCTACTACTTGCTGACATTTCCCCAGATAAGCCATAAGTGAGTATGTATACACCCTTTGTTGGACTTGTGGTAATAGGACAGTTCTTCAAGCTGCTTCTGTTTGTGGAAAGAATTGTATATGCATAAAAATCAATATATTCTCACCCCTAAATTGACCTGTAATGAAATGTTCCTCCTGTTAAAGCTCTACCTTGAGGAGAATTCATTAAACAGTAGCACAGAGAGATTTTTTTCTCTCTGAAATTGACAATGTAGCTTATTGCTGTTGCTATATTATCTGTAGGTTTGTCTTCATTATTGTTTCTTAAATATTGAAACAATGCTTTACAAGTTTATTTATAAGTAAAGTACTCTTTTTAATCATGTAGGAATTGGGACTTCAGGATCTTTTGGGGGGGAGGAGATTGTGGGGAGGTATCATTGAGAATGTCTTAAGGAAAAATGAATGCCACTTAATAAATAAACCCCCTATTAATGGGAGTGAATTGGTCAGCCTTTTTTTGGGGGGCAGGGGACTTGGTATTGAAAACCCTAAAGATGGAGTACCTTTTAAAAGGCACTAGAGGTCCTCAGTTGACTATGAATATGCGGTACATCTAGGCTTCCTTTTTATGTGTTTATTTGGTAACACATGGTTCAAAATTATTCAGGGTGAGAACTTTGATGTGCTATTTCTGCAAATATACAAAGAGACTACATCTTATCTGATTTATGCCACTGTATTTGAGAAGGATTCCTTTATTGATTTTCTACCTTAGGTTTACTTTGCTAGTATGATCAATTTCTGTGTTAATTCACTGTTGTGATGAAAGTTAGGGATTTTTATAGCATAGATAGCAAGATTTCTCTGATCAAACACGTCAAAATAAATAGTGTTGCATATTAAAAATGCTAGAGTATGAGGGAGGCTTCAGAAATAAAACTGAAGAATGCTGAAGGCTGAGGATTTAATAGAGATCCTGGAATAAAGTATTGAAATGTGGTTTATGTAGTAAAAGTTTTAAGAGATACTAACTTGGATTTTTGTTATCAAATGGATTGAAGGCATATGTATTTTAGCAATGAAACAAATAAAAGGAAACTTTGATGGATTGAGGTGTGTTACTGTTTTTTAAAGTTTGTATGGTTAGTTTCAATTTTGCCTTCCAGGCTGTATTGCTTAATAACTAAGGACATCTGTAATTTTTGTATATTTTCTGGTTTTGAAAATGATTAGTAGAATATAATTTCGGGTATTAAGAATGTAATGTCTGATGCCTAAATTGAATTGAAGTAAAATGGCATGATATTAAATTAGAAGTTTGTATTCTCTGAATTTCCCTTTTAGAGTATCGTTTACAGTATTTGAGGACTTTCAATTTAGTTCGGTTTGTCAGTGTCATCATGCACTTTAAGCCATGTTGATCATTGTATAGAGGATGTGGATGTATCTTAATAATAAAACCTAAATTTCTGTCAAGGTTTCTCTGTTTTCTTAGTTCTGTGTTCTTGCGCAGTTCACGTTTTTGCATCTTTCCTAAATTGTGGAATAGGGATGCAGTATCAAATATATAATTAAAAGGACCAAATGAAACATTTGTATATACTAGTATATTTAGGAAATTATTTTTTAAGAATAAAGAAAGATGTTTTAATAGGCCCTTCTCATTTCTGGGATTGGTAATAAGTATATTGTCTAATTTAGAGACTGTAAATTGAACTTTTAAATTAAAAATTAAATATATAATTTAATGCTACACATGTAATCAGTACATTATATAATACATTAAAATATATTAGCATTTTCTTTTCTGAAACTATTTATGCAAATATTTTCCTATGTCTAGTGAAATTAAGAAACAATATGTATGATTATATAACCCAAATGTGATTATTTTTCTTTATGCCTACTAAAATACAAATAGATGTGATATTTGAGTTTTAAGAATTGTTAATACTGTGACACCTCTTAGAAAAGCAAGTACTCTGGCTCTTTCATGTGTTTTTAAAACCTAATCAATGCTGCTTAATTTAAACATCTTTCATATTTCTTCCATTTGATTTCATCTAACACTTTTTTTAACACTTACTTTTAAACCACATGTCTTAATAAACAAAAACAGTACTTAACTGTCACCTTAAGGTATAGATGAACTAGTTGGGACATATTGTATGGTACTATCACATTATATTTGAAATATTAGCAGTCTCTGTAACTACGTAATTTCTATTAACTGAGACATACTAGTGAGCTAAGTGTAACTTTAATAGTAGACTTTCTGCTCTATCCAGTTGTGTACTTTTTAGAGCAATATGTGATACAGCAAAATTATGATACAATAAAAGAACTCATGAATACCCAATTTGAAATGTGAGAATGTAATTTGATAGATATTTGAATAAAAATGCACAGATAAGCATATCAGACATCTACCTTTAATGACTTTTATGTAATATTAAAGGAAAAATGTGAGTATAGAGATACAGAGAAGCAATTAGGATACCTCAGTGGTAGACAAAAATTATGTTTTTGTATGTCTTAAGGAAAGCTGCTTACAGAATTACAAAGGTCTTGTTTGTAGTCAATAATAGAATTAACATTTGTCACAGGAATTGAGAATTTTAGAGTTAAATTTTATTTTAACATATATATCAAATATAAAAATTAAAATCAATAAAATAGATATAATTTTCTATATGCCCTGACAGAGATATAAGAATAAGGAAACATTTTATTTACTAAATTGAGGATTGTAACATAAAGAATAGGTAGAATTCAAACAGACGTCATAAAGTTGATTGTGGCATCTCCATTCCTGGCATTTATTTTATTTTCTCTTTTCCTTCTAAATCCAAGAGAGGAAATGGAGTAACACTGGAGGATAATAACTTGATAAAAGTATAGGCATTAATAGGCAGAAAACCATTTTATCAAATTTGTGTGAAAAAGAGAGACTCAAGCATATTTGTGTGTCAAAATAACTGTTTATTTTTAAAGCATCAAATTATTCTCTAACATTAGACTTTTTATGTGTTTGTGAAAGTATTTTAAAATTTCTAAACTTTTTGATACAATATTGAATTTAATTTCAGTTACTGAATTTATTAACGTCATGGAATTTTTAGAAGTGTTTGTTAAAAGTTGACTGTACTTTAGAGGGCACTTTAAAAGTAACTTGCATTATATATTCTTAAACTCCATTTTATTATTATTCACTGTATTAAATTATAATGATAATATTGGAATAGGTATGCTGATAATGCTCATGTTGTAGTCCCATGACTATTCATATTAGTTTACATATAAATAGACAGTTCAGTCCTGCACTGTTTCTCAGCAGAGCATTAGATAACAAAATTAAGTCATTGTTTTTGTGTGGAGAAATTAACCACTACTACTACCAAATATGGCAACATAATTGGAAGATTTTTTTTAATTGACAGAAATTAACATTTGAAAAGCAAAATAAAAGTGAAAGTTAAACTAAAATGACAAACTAATAACCAGGATCAAAGATGAATATGACCCTTTTCATTTCAAACTTGTCTCATTTTTTTTACTGTCACTAAATGGTTAAGCATTTTATAAATTTAAGTACTTTGTCATGTCATTTTATTATCTAACTTTGAACTGAAATTCATAAAATATAATTAACTCATTTTAATAATTCAGATTATAGAAATCATAAGAATTAAGAATTACAGAAATAAGAATTACCAAAATCAGTGAAATCTGTTTCTTACCTTGGCTGATGTGATCATCACAGTATAGAGTATTGGGTCATATGAAGTCTATGGATGTTTAGCTGGGGAGTTTTCTGACTCTGTCACCAGGTTTATGGGAACAGTTGCAGTAGGTGGAGGAGAAAAAGTGTGCTAGGGAGGTCTTATGATGTCACATAGGAATTCTGAAGTTTTGATTGGTTCGCTGTAATTTTAGTCTTAATCACAACCAAACATTAGAACTTCTTACTTTAGGTATGGAAAAGTCATTAACACTTTGTGCTTCATCTTTTGTTTTTAATATAAAACAGTATATGGCAAGTAAATGGGGAAAAAAGGTAAATTTGAGGTGGTAGAAAGCTTTTGTTAGTGATTCATGCATCTTCAGGCTTAGAGATAATCGAACATTTATATTCTGTTATCTCTAAGCCTGAAGATAATTGAATATAAATGGTGAACATGTTGAAGAATAAAATAGTTACTGTAGGAATTTTAATCATGAGAAAAATAAACACAGGTATAAGCAAAACAACTTTCATTGAATTCTTGCTGCTGTTGCTTTAATACCACTTCATAATGTTAGCTTTTAGCAAGACAAAAATGAAATATTTTTACATAATCAAATTTTATGCCTGTTTTCTTCTTATTTTGTATATGGGAGAAGCAGTGTGTATGAGAAAATCAGTCTAATAACTGCTTTTTGTTTAAAAAATTATTTTTATCTTACAGCTAAAGTAAGAACTAATAAATGTATTTAATTCATTTGTGTTTTCTTCAATTAGCAGTTTAACAATATATTTGTGAATGCTAATTTCTGTATTTAAACTGATACATATAACCCTCCAAAATAGCAATATGGTACTTTAAGTATTTAAGATTTTTTTTAAAGAATTGCATTAAATTATGACACAAACTTACTAATTTTTAATAAGCAATATTAACATCAACTTTATATTAAAAAAGAAATAATTGCAGATTCCCAATCAGTTACATCTCAGTTAATGATGCTTTATAGGTTTGCATGTGTTGAAATTTAAGTTTTGTGATGTTTCTAAAAGGTTGTGCCTCATTTAATCTAGTGGTTGCTTTTCTGAAAATCACTATACAAAGAGTTGTTAGTGGGATGATATTTTGAACTTCCCAAAGCAGTTTATTTTATAGTATAACTGGGTAAATAATTTTTTTTTTTTTTTGGTAAAGCTGGGCATCATTCTCCTCTTCTCTGTTCATCTAATTTGTTGTCTTACATGTTAGATTTATTTAAGTCACCACATTTGAAAATATTAATTCTTAAATCTCTTCTTTAATTTTAGAGGAGGTACTTGTAATTTTTATTTTTTTAAATGCTTATGACAGAGTGAACTTAGCCCACTTCACTTTCTTATGGGTAACTAAAATGTGTAGCAGCAGCTGCTTATGTGTCCTTAAATGGAGATGATCTTGGCTTCTTCCAAAGAAAGAGAAAATCTTTCTCTAGAGCAAATCATTTGTTATTTAAAGAATCAGCTTAAAACTAACTGAAAAATAATATTTTAGCAATGATCTTCTGTGAACATTGCCAAGGGAAAATTTACAACTTAAACCCAAGTTAAGGAAATTGCATGAATAATGTTTGACTCTCATTACTATCAGTTACCAGTGATGATTGATAATATAAAACCTAGAAGCCTAAAGAGATTTACAGTAATTTGTCAGAGATAACCAGCTGCTAGAGAAGAGACTGAGGATTCAAATCCAGATCTGTCTATTTATAATTTCTGATCTATTGGCATACTGTGGGAAAAAATTGTAACTTGAACATAGCTTTCATTGGAGTAGCATATAGTAACCAAGAAATTTTTAGCATGTAAATAGGTGAATTATTGAGCACTGTTAATAGTTTTAGAAAGTTTGCTTTAGGTTTGTCTACGAGTTACACATTGATCTGAAATTTAGGTGATAGATCATTGTTCTGAGAACTTATTCTAAGAAAATTGAACTAGTAATACTCAGTTGGGTAAACTAAGAAGCTGCCATTGACAGAATAAAATATACCCTAGTTAACCACATATGTTTACAAGCTTACTTAAAAAACATACATAGGCATATACACACCTTAAAAGGATACTTATAACTGTGTGTGACATAGTTGGAAAATGGATTCAAAATGTTACCTTTTAGTTTTGTACAAGAGTGAGGAGATTTTGTGTTTACCTTTTTCCTTGGGGTTAGCTAGTGATGATGGCGATGGTGATGATCCCACATGCAACTCTAGGAAGTATTATATTTTAGTTTTAACGAAACACTGTTTTTATTGCCCAAAGTTGTTTAAAGGAGCATTAGTGAGTTACAGTATCATCAGTAGAATGTTCCTCAACGATTCCTCAACTAGAGGCTGGAAAATTTTTTTGAGGTTCTTTGTCACAGTCTTCATTTGGAGTTACATGTAGTTTGAATGTGTTTTTGGTCACGTGACTTTGTACAAATAACCTCCCTAAGCTGCTAAATTTGTAGAATGTACTTGTAATGGCTTAATGACCCAAAGTGTACATAGTGATTATCAGAGATCCTGCAACAGTGACCTTTTAGTGTTAGTACTTATTTTCTTTTTTCCTTTAGAAGACGGATTCTTAACGGTAAACTGTCTTTGAACTTGGATGGGAAAATAATTACAAATTTATTTTTAGTACTCTCTAAATGAATCTTAGAATTTCTTCAGTTTTAACTGAATCCTGGGTTCATTTCTTTACTTTTGTTTTTATATAGTTTTGTGGCATTTTAAATATATTTCTCAAAATCATTCGTTTTTTATTTATTTATTTTTTTGAGACGGAGTCTCACTGAGTCACCCAGGCTGGAGTCAGTGGTGCAATCTCGGCTCACTGCAACCTCCGCCTCCTGTGTTCAAGAGATTCTTCTGCCTCAGCCACCTGAGTAGCTGGGACTACAGGCGTGTACCACCACATCCAGCTAATTTTTGTATTTTTAGTAGAGATAGAGTTTCACCATATTGGCCAGGCTGGTCTCGAACTCCTGACCTCATTATCTGCCTGCCTCGGCCTCCCAAAGTGCTGGGATTACAGGCAGGAGCCACCGCACCCTGCCATATTACTTTTTGTTAAAAATATCATGATATATGTAATAATCTTTCACATTGATTATTTAAACTCCAATCTGTAGTGGAGGTATCTGGAGGGCAAAGAAGCTTCAAGATAAAACAGTTTTTTTGTAATTGTTTTTGACAAGAAGTTAGTTTAAATAATGACTAAATTAAAACATTTTAATATTTAGACAGATACATAATATAGTAAAATGCAAGTTTTGAATGAATTTTTGTGACATTCACAGTACATCAAAGATAAACTTTTTTTAGGTTAGATCTCCTAGACACCCAGGAGGATGATTTTACCTAGCTTTTGAGGGTACTTGAGGGTTTGATAATTACTGCCTTAAATTTTAAAGCTACATAGGAAAGGATTAGTTTGAAAAACATCTAAGCAAAAATGAGAATGAGAATAGTGTTCTGAGATTGAGAGGATGGAAATTCTTTCCCTAGGGCAATAGGGAAGAGAAAATAAGATTTACTCATCAAATGGGATTTGGGGCCATTAATATAACCCAATGATAAAGTAACCTATAAACCTTAGGGGTCATTTGGGGGAGGTAGGTTCCCTTTTCACTTGATTTGCCAGATATCTGGAGACCCAAACATTTTATTTTTTCATAAATGGCTGAATTCTGGGCAAATTGTCTTTCCTTATCTTGATGAGGGTTGGAGAAGAGCATTGACATCGAGAGAGGCCAGATGGATTTAGCAAAGGACTCATGTGGGTCTACGTAATTTTTGGAAAAGTTATGAAACATTCTAAGTGATAGAATTGTTATAGCGTGCTACGTGGCTTCAAGGAAATTGTTTATCGGTATACAAGTCATCAGGAAATGAAAATTTAACATTTAGAAGTTAACCACTAGTGCAAGATAACACCAGGAGAAAAATGAAATTCCCAGTTTAGAGTCAAATGAGCACATATAATAATAAACAGTATGACTTCTAAGAGATATATATATTTTATACAGAGGAAGCTGACAGAACCAAAGCCAAAATAACAAAGGGAAACACACCAAAAAACAAACTGAACAAAAACCAACCCTTAGGTCTCCAGATACTTGCTTCAGAATTCTATAGAGTCCAGATCATGATGCTGTTAAATTGTTAAGAAGGTTCCAGTTCAATTCAATGATTGTAGTGTTTCCCCAGACACATTAAATTCCTTATTTTTGTGGTTGATATTTCAGCCCTTTGGCACTATCACTGATTTTGATACAGAATTGAAATTGGAGGTTCATATTTTTTTCTGTCTTCTACCAGATTCCCCATTCACTTAGAAACCAAATGCAGATTGCGAAATCAAAATGTTTCTTCTCATAGCCTGACCAACTCTCCTCTGAACTTTCATAGAGGTTTATTAACTAGTCTTTCTGCCCTCCCTCATGACCCTTTCCGACTCAGTTTTTACTCTGATATCTGAGTGCACATTTTATTGTCATTCACATGCTAAGAACTTTTCCTTGTATTGATTTCTCTTTCAAGATGAAAAACCCACTCTTTACAGAATTAAATAAAACGTTTCCTTATCTTTCCTTTGCCATGTATTTCTACCATAACGATTTGACAACTCTGTCATTATGTGTTATTTCTTCTATCCAAAATATTTCCCTTACTCTCTTGTTCTTATGGAACCTCCTTCATTATTCAGAAGTAAATGGGGAGAAGCCCTGTTTTGCTTGTTCTTAATTTTTAATTATATAAATAATAAGTGAATATCTCCCGTAATTCAGAAAAGTCAGATAAATCTGAAGTTGGAGGGGGACTTCCTCTATTATATAGGTATATTTATTTTCTTTGCCATAAACATCATGAATAGAGACTAATTTATTTTTTCTAAGCTCTACACACTGCTTATCCCTGAGAAGACTCAGTAAGATATTTTTATATTTAATGGATATTTAGAATATTATTTTACCATTACAAGTGAATTCTTAAAAAGGGTAAGTTGAAAAAAGAGAGAAGAGAATCCCCCAGAAACTTAAAACTACTTTTCTTTGTTCCTATTGTCCCTGAAAACTCGAGATTTTTCTTGCACTTATTCTTTATAACTTGTTC